TTTTTCTCGCTCTGCTCCTTTTTGTTGGCGCAGCCGAGAAAAAGGAACCTCTGGAAGCACATCTGTTCAAACAACTTGCTCAGTACGACTTGTTCTCTACGCCTTTGATAACCGGTTTATGTCTCTGCTTTCACAGAACTGCAGGGGGTCAATTTAATATCGTTGTGCAAAACATCAAACTTAAGGTGCGAGGGCCAAATCCGGCCCGCCAAAGCTTCTTATGCGACTCCAAAAAGTAGAAGATGACATTTGTTTGCTTAAATATTATTTTATCAATCAAATCAAAGCAATTTTTGTCTGTAAACTGATAAATTCCCTCAATCAGTCCCTCCAGTTTTTTGCATTAATGCATAATTGTGAGTTTATTGAGTTGAAATGATGCTAACTCCCACCTGCAGGGGGCAGCATATCCTCTAACTCAGAACCGTCAAACTTTTTCTCATTTTGGGAGAAAACAAAAATCTGAACATTGTTCAAGAAACTATTGATAAAACTTGTTAAACTGTTAAAATATTAATACATTTTAATAAGTGATTCTTAAAATAAAATAATAATGAACATCTTTTCACACTGATCAGCTCCTCCAAGATTTAGTGATTTAAAAAAAATTTTTTTTGCAATGTAGAAATTTGAGAAATTTTTCCGCTATTATACGATGTTAAATGTGACTTTTTATGAATCGTTGTACTTGACCTGGAGTCAGGCTGAAGAAGCAGCCACTTAAACATAAAGTTTTTGGCCAATTTTGATAAAGAAATTACAGTGAAATCAGAAAAAATGTGGAGCTCTGTTGATTTTGTGCGAGTTTTATGGATTTATGAAAAACTGGAGGGATTTATTAACGCAGGGCCACATAAAAAGCTACGGGGGACCATATTTGGCCCCTGGGCCTTCAGTTTGACACGTGCGCTCTAAGTGCTTCAACTTTGGGATTCATGTTGTAAAAAGTTTGGACACCCCTGTTGTAGTTTGACAAAGTAGGTCCCCCAAAAAGCCAGGACCGGCCCTGGGTACAACACAAAATATCCATTTTAAAAAGCAGCTTATTTGCATTTTCTTACATATTATAGTAAATCTGGCCACATTTCTTCCAACTTGCACTGTAAATTAGACTTTGATGCATCCAAATTTAATTTAATTAATTCATTGAGCTCAACCAAGTACAGCATTGCAGGTAGCGAGTGACCAAATCCTGTTAGTGTGCTGAATGTAGACTCTGGTTTTGTTTGTGTTTTCAAGGGCAGAAAGTCGTTCAGACTGCAGATCTGGAGACTTTTTCAAACTTTAACTCATGACAGCTTCAGTATTTTGGGTGATTTTACTTTTTAAGGGGACAGAATTATGTCATTTTATAGCTCAATAAAGTAACTCTTACCTTCATTACATATAAAAAAGAAGCTGTTTATATCAAATATAACTTTAAAGTAATTTCACTTCCTGATTTGATGCCTTGAAATTGGGCCTCTGTCTCTTTAAGAACCTCCTGCTGTTTCTGAAGCTCCGCCTAATAGAACATGGCTCCTCTATTAGCCCTTTAACAAAATTTTTTTACCAACGTTTAACTGAGAAGAAGCTTCAGTAATGAACTCAGCTGATGCTAATTGCTGCTGGCTAGTCTGAAGGATCTGAGGGGGAGGAGCTGCGTCTTGAAGGCGGAACTAAGTCCACCCAGGCGTCATGCACAGCTCAATGAAGATTTCAAAGGATTTCTCAAACATCAATGAAATAATCAAAGCAAGAATAAAAGTTTCTGATGAGTTTTGATGCTTAAATTTCACATAAAACTGCATTTATTTAAAAATCTTGAGTCATGCTCATAACTCTTGAGGACAAAAAGTTAAAGGTAACAGAGCAATTTAATATGTTTTCTTAGCTAAGATGTTTTAGATTGGGTCTTAACCTTTTAATTTAATTTGGTTTGAACCGAATCGAGTCGACGGTGACGTAAACCGCTGGCATCGATCTGTGGCTCTCCTGTAATCTGACTGAATAAACCTGAAACACATGTCGGCTCCTCTGGCTTCATTTATTACGGTTTCTCTACTGATGGAAACGGTTCAGCTGAATTCAAAACTTCTTTATAACTCCTAAGTTATTGTAAACTTTATTTTCTGCTCAGAAAATGTTCAGGAGGATTTAAGCAGTAGGTAAAATCGGGGGTTTGTTGTGTGAAATGTTCCCCTTAATGTTAATAGTCATGTGCTTATTATAATTTGGTAACAAAAACGAGATGTATCTGAGTCAGCATTTATGTTTTTCTGGCTACAGTAAAAGAACAGCTTCAAAAAGCTGCGTAAATTGAATATTATCGACCTTTCTGTCATTTTAAAGTATTTTTCTGGTTAACGGAGACGTGTAAAACGTGCAGACAGAGGATGTCTGGGTAACGTTCAGCTCTGAACGGTTTAAAACTCTAACAGGTCCAGTAAAAATCCCAGTAACAGGCTGGTAAATTACTGGCCTCTGAACTGGCAGATTGGTGCAAAAAGACTGATTGAGTGCAAGATGTTCATAAACGTCTCAGTGAGTCTGCAGTCAGCACCAAAATACTCATATTTGGGTGAAAAAGGTCTGCAGCAATTAGTTGTCTTTTGTAGAGTTTGCTAAATGGAAAATTATCAGATTAAATTAATATCTAGAGATTATAAATGTTATTGGATCTTAGATGTAAAGAAAAACATCATCAGCATATGGGGGTCACTACATGCCAGTGTTTATTGGACGTTTTGAGCTCTGGAAAAACGAGACAAATCACCGAAACAGAGAAACTAAAGAGATAATTTACAGTTTTAGCACCTCTACTAACAGCCTGTCGTAAAAACTGCACATTCTTTAAATGCTCCGCCAGCAATCTGAGCCAAGATGGAAGATGAAACCAATTACGAGGCATTCCAGAGTGTGGGACTTCATCTTCTGCTTCATTCTGTTTGAAATCAGAGAAATCCTGAAGTTTCCAGAGGAGAATATGGCAATGAGTTTTGATCTGGTAAAACACTGAACGTGTAGAAAGAAACGTTTGTTTTTCTTTTATTCTAAAAACATTCCCGCTTTCTAGTTGCACAGTTTTGTTCCTCAGTTTCTTTTGCTGCCAAAGCGATAAAATAAATTATTACCTGCTGCTGCTACTTGATTAGCATTCAGTTAATATTTCTCTGGTTGAATTTGGCCTTGAAAATGATCTGATTTGAAGCTAAAATAGAATAAAATCTGAGTTATTGTAAGAATGAAACATTGTACAACAAAATTTAGATGCAATTCTTCTTTAAAAAAGTAGACTATAAATAATTACTTAGATGTATTTTATCAAGGAGTAATACACTTTTTATCCTTTGATAAAAAGTTAGAGGGGCCGCATAGAATCCTGTCCCAGGCCACATTTAGCCCACGCGCCTCGAGTTTGACACTCATGTTCTTATTTCAGATAAAAACACATCTGAGTGGGTTTTTCAGAAACAGTAGAAACACAAATGGAAGAATAAAAGGTACAAAATGTGAATTTCATATTGATTAAAAAGCTTCCAGTTCTACTTATGGGAAACATGTCTTGTTGTAAGTGAAAATATCTGCCTGTGGAACGATCAGTATTAAAGATTCATTGACTTATATCTCCTCTCTTGCTGAAAGGTTCCTCGTAAGCTCATTTAGTCTTATTTAAAGTGAACTAAGATATTAACTAAAGTGAAATAGTTGGTAAAGGTTTGTGTTTTTGCAGCGTGGTGCTCAGTGCTGCAGAGGTTTTCCTGGCTTTATCTTCAGGAAGAGATAACGAGCTCGTAGAGGGGCTGACAGACACGGTCTCATTTATTTTAAAACATGGCTGACAGGAGTTGGGCCTGAGCCTCTGTGGTGTTTGGCGGCGCTCCAGCCGCCTGAAACATGTCGATACCGTGGCGTCCCTCAGGGCGTTTCTTTAATAAGTGCTTTCTTTAAGATCCCTCTGACAACGGCAGGCCGAGTTGGTGTTTTTGCTTCAAACACATCACCCTAATTAATCCTGGATCCAGCAGTTACATAATCCCACCAGCATCTCTGTTCAGACGGGTCCCTGTCAGTTGTCAGGTTGCTGCAGCATCAGCAGTGACTCACTTTCTCCAGGTATAATAAAGAAAGAAGCTGTTCAAGGCAAACACCTGTAGGCTACACATGATGAATGGCACTCCAGCTAAAATAAAAGCCTGTCATATAACTCCTAACCGCTGGCAGGAAACCAGCCAGCGGGGGCCGAGGTAGAAAGCCGCGCGGCACTGTGACTAACAGAAATCCTTTTAAAACGCTCCGCGCCGCAGATTGTAGTCGGCCTTTAAGTGAGCCGTGTGTTCGCAGTGGTTTTGGATCGCAGATGTTTTCAATTGCAGGGGCTCCCAAAGCGGATAGCAGGACCCCCATGAGAAACCCAGTGAGTTGGGCAGTAACTAGTCACATCTAGTTCAGTGACTTTTTTAAAGAAATGTACTTTAAAAGTATTTTACTACACTGTACTTTGAGTGATTTTATTGTGAAGTGTTTCTACTCTTATTTGAGTAATTTTTCTGGATTTTCTACCAACTGAATGAAAAATAAACATGTTTTAACCAAACATTCACCAGACATACACATGCAGTTTTTGTTAGTTTCTAAAGTTTTATACTGAAAAAAAAAACTGATTTGGAAAAATTATCTTTTGCCTGATTTTGTTATTTTTGTTACCTATCTGAATTATTGTCATTTTGTTCCTAAACCCAACAATTTTCCACTTAGCTTTATATTTTGGTCATCTGTTGATATCATTTTTAGATATTAAATGATTGATCTTATACTCAGCATTTGAGTAGACTTCTTACTAAATACTGTTTCACTCTTAATTGAGTAATTTTGTGGAAGGCTACTTTTTACTTGAGTCAAAATATTTCAAAGTTTCTCTACTCTTACTTAACTACAATTTTTGGGACATATTTTTATCTGATGATGTAATATTTAAAACTGGTTGATGTTTTGATCAGTCTTTGTCTGTGTCCCTGCAGAAGAGCTGAATATTCTGCAGGAGCTTTCTCTCCAGGTGTCAGATCGCAGTAACTCCTCCCTGACTGTAGAGGGCGCCAGCTGTCCGGTAATCAGAGTCGGACAGTACGCCACCTTAACGCTCCCCATGCACCAGATTTTCAGCGACAGGTTTGTTTCTCCCGATTTAAATATTCACGCAAAGCCTCGCAAATGTGTTTCAATCTCTTTAATATTTGTAGACTTTTGTTACATTTCAGTAAACGTGGATTAGTATGATATTTAGAACGACGTTTCGCTGCAGTTACAGGAATGCTAATGTCGCTATTAGCATTAATAACCTCAGAACTGGACGTTGTGAGGTTATTAACCGCTTTTAAATAGCTGAAATCTGCAAAATTGCATCTAAAAACGCATATTTGTTACATATTTTAATAGTTTAAACAAACATATATCATATATACCCTAAAATACGTTAATACGCTCGGTGGAAACTACATCAGCGCGCTAATATTGCTTCAGCGGTATTTCCGTTCTTACAGCCAATCAGTGCCACGGAAAAATTAATGGTTCTCCTTGATTGGCTGCTTTGCAAACAATAGCCAATAGGATGCTAAGTGGAATTGCGTCCATGTATTTCGGCCTCACAAACTACATGTTTTCGAGAACATCTAATTTTACGGAAAAGTCAGCGAATATGCGATCTATTTATTAATTATTTATTTATTTTAAAAAGTTGGAGCTGCATTCAGAAAAATCCACATATTGAATAAAAGTAAAACTTTGCTTAAGCTTGTTCAGTTTAGAAAATTCTAATCTAAAATTGATTCTCCTATTCCTTCAGATCTAGACTTTGACTAGGCCATTGAAACATAACTTTTGATGGGTAATTAATTCAGTTGTAGCTCTGTTTTTATGTTTCAGGTTGTTTTTCTCCGTAGGACTGGCCTATGTTTAGTTTCACATCAAATTGTGGGGTAAATGAGTCGATACACTGCAAAAACAAAATATCTTGCCAAATATGTTTTTTTGTCCAGTTTCTAGTGCAAATATCTTAGTTCACTGAGACAAAACTAACCTACAGGAAACTATTCAACAAGAGTTAGGAGATATTTTTATATCAATAATTCCTTAAAAATAAAAATACTATTTCCTCTTCACAGATTGTTTTTTAATTAAAACCTGGGAAAATGTTTCTTAATAAGTAAAATAATATCAAAGTAGGCTAAATAAAATTGAACATCATACTTTGAATTAAAACAGTTTGAAAACCTGTCCATTAAATGACGTTTATATTACGTCTTTCTGCTTGTTGTGTTTTTCTCATGCTGCCTGTGTTTCCTGCCTCCAGGTTTTCGGATGAGTTCAGTTTGCTGGTGCAGCTTCGTAGTCGGCAGAGGGACGAACAGAGCGTGTTCACCGTGCTCAGCCCAGACAGCCACATCACGCTGCAGGTCCGGATCAGCGCCTACGCCATCATTTTCATCGGGACTCAGCAGCGCCACTACGAGTGAGTTTTCACGATGGGGCTTTCACAGGCTTACTTCCAGAGCAGATTTGAAACGTCAGAGGCAGAATGGAGCTAATATTGTTTTTGCAAGAAGAGAATTGGGACCACCAAAAAAAATCTGGCTTTAGAATTTTGACTTTTTTCTCAGAATTTATTTTATTCCTCAGAATTATTTTTTTTCCTCAAAATTTTGACTCTTTCTCAGAATTCAAACCTTTTCTCTGAATTTTTAAAAAAAATTCAGAACTTTGATTTTTTTGTCATACTTATGACTTTCTCAGAATTAATTTCTTTCTGAGAATTCATTTGTTCAGAGAAATTTCACTTTTTCTTTTTGAAATTTCTCCCAAAAAATTCTGCAACATTATGCTGACCATCTTTGGTCTGATTTCATAATTGGCTGGAAATTCTGTGCAAAAGTTTTGGTTTGTTTGTATATTTTTTAGAAGAGCAGCAGGAGTTTGGTATATTTTTTAATAGTTGGAAAGTTTTTATTTGGAATTTCACAGCTTTTTTATAACAAAATTTGAGAAATAAACATAATTTGCACACATTCATTTGACATAAGCTGAAGGAACAAACAAACTTTTTCTTTATGACTTGAACACAAGCTGCATCCTGCTGAAACGGTTCTGTTGCAGGTTCCCCATCAGCGGCCTGTGCGATGGAGACTGGCATCGCGTTGCCTTCAGTGTCTCCAGGAATCGGCTGCAGCTGTTTGTGGATTGCTCGCTGCTGGAGAGCGTGGACTGGGTCAACCACGGCCTGGACATCGGTTCTGATGGACTCCTCATGGTTGGAGGCATCCTGGAGAGTTTTGAAACTCCGTTTGAAGTAAGCTGCTTTCTGAGGTGGGCGTGGTTATGAACTCCATGAAATTTAACAAAATAAGAGACCTTTAAGGCAAACTAAAGCTTTTTTATCCGGAAAGGAGTTTTAGTACGTTTCCCTCTGAGGTGAAATCCTGTTGAGCATCAGGAGAAAAAAATCTGACTTTTTTTCCCTAAAATTTCAGATTTTCTTTTTTCTTTGAATTTTACATTTTGTAGCAAAATTCAGACTTTTTTAACTTAAAATTTTGACTTTTCTGATAATTCTGACTTTTGTGTCAGAATTCTGAACTTTATCGATTCTGATGGTTTTTCTTAGAATTCAGACTTTTTTACTCAGAATTTTGACTTAGAATTTTTATGCTTTTTACTCAGAAAAGACTTAGTGACTCAATAATTGTTCTATGGATGATTTAATTTATCATCCATAGAACCTTGAACTACAAACAGGAATGAGTTCAGGTTCAGCCGGAGCTGAACTTTGACCTCATTCTGAACTTGCATGACTTTTTTCTTTGTCTTCCCTCTGGTCTTAAAAAACAGATGCATCCCTGACATGTTCCTTTAACTCTCAACATTTAAAACATGCTTCAAACTTTAAGTATCTGAGTTGATTTGAAAAAAGTCTTAAAATGTTAGTTTTCTTCCGCTAAATTATGCAGAACCTGGAGTATTTGAGGTCAATATGTGTGAAGTTTGTTTCATCTTGATGAAGTCTGAGGAGGCAGACACTCGGATCTTTCTCTGCTTAGAGAAGAAAGCGTGTTGAACGTTATTTCAGCCATGTTTTTCTGACCCGCCCTATTGTACATCCTGATTCTTACAGACCAGCGGTTTGTTTCCATGAATCCCCTGAAACCACAACCTTGAATGTTTTCATCAAAAAACAGACTGGGGTATATTTTTTCATGCACCTTGCAATAAAACCTCATCTTGTGGTCATTGTTTTCCTAACAGGATGATTGTTTTTTAAGTTCATAAAGCATGTTAAGCCGCTTTGCTTTGTGGGTATCCAGTTTCTACAACATGAGCTGCAGCCTGAGGGTCGGCGCTGCGACTGTCATAAATGCATCTGGATCTATTCACTGCATCAAATAAAATGGATTCTGCTTGTCCCAACACCCCTAAAGTGACATGTTTGTATTAAGAGAAGTGATTCCACCCTGAGAAATACTGACACGTTCCTTTGTCTGAGTGTTTTTAGGCACTGCTGCTCTTATGCAGAACACATTTTATTTCTGGTTATCATTTTCTTTATGATATGGCAAAAATATCTTTTGTCTTATTTCAAGTAAACAAAATTATTTGCAGTAGAAACTAGATAAAAATTCTTGGTAGTAATTTTAGTTTTTCTTTGCTCTGTGTGATGATTATTTTTTTGCGTCTTTCTGCCACCCTCCTGCAGGGGGAGCTGCATCAGCTGTCCTTCCTCTTGGATGACCCTGATGGCGCCCAGCAGCACTGCAGCCACCACCCGCCCCGCTGCAGCCGCTCCGCTCCCAAACCGCCTCGCTCCCCGCGCACCAACGTCCTGGAGGTAAAAAAATACAATAGATGACAAAAAAAATAAATCTTGTTTGATAACTTGTAATAATTCATTATGCGCTCTGAAGCGGCTCTGGCTTGTAATGAGGATGTTTCAGGAGAAGCCAGATGTCTCCCTTGGGGCAGACACTCAGACTCCTGGAACAGGAGAACCTGTCGGAGTCTCTAACACAAACGTTTGAAATGATTTTCTGCAGATTTAATCAGAAAACTGTTCCGGCTGCTGCGGTTTAGATCCAGTCTGGTGGATACTGTGTGTGGTCGCCCAGCAGCCGGGCTTTCGACGCTGCTTCTGTGGTTTCACATTCAGAAATTGTCACTGCTTTTTAGACACAAAATATGAGATGGATAGTAACTGGTTACATGATTAACTTTAAAAAAACAAACTTTACGAGTTAGTTCACTGCACTGATACAACGGAGAATTAGGCCCTCTGAACTCTGCTGGGGTTGCTAGGGAACGGGCGGAACTCTGCTGGGGTTGCTAGGGAACGGGCGGAACTCTGCTGGGGTTGCTAGGGAACGGGCGGAACTCTGCTGGGGTTGCTAGGGAATGGGCGGAACTCTGCTGGGGTTGCTAGGTGATGCTGCAGAATTTGACCCAACAAAAAAAAACGGCAAATAAATTGGATGAAACAAACTTCACACATATTGACCTCAAATAAAACCTACTTCTAACTGCCAGAAGTAGGTTTATTTTTTCATTCCTTTTTAAACATTTGGTATTTTTTTAGAAGCAGTCAAGACCAAAATGGGATCACAGAAATAAAAAATGTAAAAAATTAGAATTTTGGATAATAAGTTAATTTGTAAAAGCTTGCCTGAAAATTCCCGGTTTGGTTGTCTGGTTTGGTCGTGTGCTGACAGGCTGGTGATTAAAAGCCGCACAGCTCTACAGCTCTACAGCTCCAGCACACCGTCTGGATTAATGAGGGTTTATGTGCAGCAGAATTATGTCTCAAATAATGACGTAAAGTTGGATAAAATGCAACCTTTCACACTGTTGCATATATAATTCGAGAGCTTTGCTTTTTAGTTGAGCTCTGTCTTCACAGAATGCAGGCAAATTAACAACTACTGCTTGTTTATACATATTACTGTAGCTTTAATAATAATATCAGGAATAACAGCAACAGTAATAATAGTAAAAATAGTTATGTAAGTTAAATAATTATAATAGAATGAATAATAATAAAAAATAGCAAAGAGGAAATAATAAACATAATGGTAAAATTAATAACAAATTGTTGTGAAGAAAACCTAATAGCTGAACAAATTATGAAAATAAAATAAGAAAATACAAAATATAATAAAGGAAAAAAAATTACAGAAAAATAACAAGAAGACACTAAAAGTAAAGAAGTGAAATTAATAAATAGAACTTACAATAAAAACACTAAAAATAAAAATAACAGTAAAGACAAAAATCATAAAATAGAAAAAAATCATGAAATAGTAAAAGATAAAAAAAATAATACAAATCTAAAAGTAATAATATTTAATCATAACAATAAATCCTCAAAAGCTCAAACTAATGAGGATTAAGCTGAGGATGGAAACTGTTGAGGCAGCAGAATTAATTTGAAAACAATTTATAATCAGGTTTAATACATTTTGAAGACAATGTTGAGACCTCAGCCTGGTTTAATGCCGAGGATGAAGAATTTGATCCGATCTGTGTCGAGAACAAGCCTTTCATAAATCACACATGGTTTTGTTCAACACACTGCAGCCAAATCTCTTAAACCAAACTAAATATAGCTGATTAAATGACTTCATTTTCAGAGGGAATCAGGTTTCCAGACTCGCCAGATGTTTGACGAAGTGATAGACCAATACTCAGAAACAAAAGACAAGCAAAGCTGGTTTGAATTTACATCTTTATGCTTGTTAAAAAGCGCATGGATAATTGGTAGATATCGATTTCTCGTCGCAACATGCCGGCATTGGCGTCTGTTTCTGCCTCAACAGGGACGGAGCGTCCATATCTGGGTTCCCAAAGTCACTGCTAGTTATTTTGTCATGCAAAATAAAAGCTTGTTTTCCCTCAAACTTCACCAATTTGTCAGAGTGCTCCATTGTGTAAACGCACTTGATCCGTAAAGCAGCTTTAAATGTGTCGGTTTGGATCCACACGCCTGTGGGCATCCGGTTCCCGCTTCCACATCTCTTCACAACCAAATGTTGTTGCTTTGTGTCTCCAGGGAGGCTCCTGTTGGCAACATCAAGTGTCAAGAGAGGCCAAATTAGAGAGGAAGCGCTAAAAACATCTATCATTAAGTGTGGAGGGTTTGTCATTGAGACTTTGCACAAAAAATAACCATTTATTTCCTCATTTTCAGACGATTTAAAGTGGACAGATTTCGCAATTCTAGAATCGTGGCGCTCTGGGTGGCAGCATGACGCAGTAGCTCGGTACTTTCATTGAGATTTTGTCTCTTTTTAAAACTTTAATTCCTGTCTTTTTGGAGGAAATTAGCTTTTTTTTTTTTTTTTCTTTTGCAAAACCGCTTTAAAAAAAAGGCAAAATCCAAAATCATCTCCAGATGTTCCACAGTGATTATGCATAGAAGGATTTCTCATAAAATCAGAAAAATTATGGACAACCCTAACCATCCACTTCATGAATCTGAGTATCTTCAGTCAGAGGCTTTTTCAGATTCGCTGTCAAACACACTGCTACAGGAGATCTGTCCTGCTGACAGCCATTAATACCTGCAAGAACACTTTGAAGAATCTGAACTATTGGCCCACAACAACATTTAATTTCTCATTGGGATCAATAAAGTATTTTTGAATGTTAAATTCACATTTTTATCTTTTCATTTTGCCTTCTGCTGCCTGTAAAAACAGCCGAAGCTCTTATTAAAAAACACCCGGCTGTTTTTTAGTGTCTGGAAAACGAGCAGATTACAAAACCCTCTGATTGTTGAGTCGCACCACGCCATCACCTAGCAACCTCAGTCAAGCCCAGCCCAGTTACCTAGTAACCCAAGTGGAGTTCCAGCATATTTGCTCAGCTGGTTTTACTGCTGTATGCACAATACAATGGCTGCTGGAAAAGTCAAGTGTACACATTACAGCAAGTTTTACTGTGGATAATGACGTTCTCCTACCAGTTCCAGCCAGAATCTCCTTAAGATGTTTTTGTTCTCGTGTTGAGTCGCACCTTTCATTTCAAGACCTGCTGATCTTTAAAATCCGTACATTCCCATGATGTTTATGCTTCTGTATTATTGTCTGGAGAGATAAATGTAGCTTCTTTTGTCATCTGGAAATGTTCCCCAAATATGAATATCTTTACCTCCTGCTGTGATGTTTGGCATCACAGGTTATAAACATGTAGACGAGTTGATGCGCATTTTCCTGCCTCCGTTTTCTTATACGAGAACCAAAAGCTATTTGCTAACAATGACTAGCATTGTTTGTGTGTTAAGTTTTCAGAATAATGTGCGAAATTTGAAATTTACCTCTGATGTATAAAGGAAAAGTAACGCAGTGCTTAGATGCTAATTGTCAACACTACAACTAGTTAACAAAGTCATGCTAGTTATGCTAGCTTGACTATGACACACTAACATGAAGATGTGAAGTGGAATTTGGTGTTTTAGTTCAGTTAAAAATAACAGAAACCAACCTCAACACAAACTCTGACAGATCATCAGTAGACCAGGTGTTTAAATTAGATAATCAATCACCACTGTGTTTGCTTATCTAATTGCAGCGGTAGCTAATCAGCCACAGCTATCATTTATTAATTATCACAAAGTAAATATCAAGCCTGAAAACCTAAAACAGTAATGGACTGAATGTTCTTTTCTTTGTGTGGGAAATGTTTGTTTTTTTTGTGTGTTGAATCCTGAAACATAAAGTGATGTTGTTGTCGGTTGCTGTCTGCGTGTAGCGAAGCCTTAGCTGAGTTAGCCAACTTAGCTTAGAGACCAAGAAAAAAGTGGTTTTGAGTTTATCTTTAACGTTTTTTCTTCATTATTTTCCACTTTGCTGCGGCACACTGCACTGAATCAGTAATTCCTACATCTCCAGGTTTCATTTAGTTGTTCTACCGCGGCAGCGCGGCTCCAGATAGCAGGTAAAGTATCGTCATTTTGGCATCCAGCATTGAGCGCTAGCGTGAAATCTCTGGATGTAAACGATGACATGCGACGGGTTCACAGCATAAATGTAAACAGTTGCTCCATATTGGGGTTTTGGCTTCAAAGAGGAACCACACATCATTCCCAGCTACACATTCACAAATTAGAAGCTGTCACTTAATAAATGGGCTTCATGTTTTGCTAAAAAAGAGAAAATGAATGTTTTTTATTTTTTAATAAAGGCAGTTATGTGTAAAGGCGTTACTTTCATGCGCTTTAAAAGGGATTCAGCTGTAATTTTTCATCTGCTGATGAGGTTTAGGACTCCCTCCAATATGAAATAATTAAAGAGGAGAAATGAGGCCCTAAAGTCAAACAGCACAGTGGGAAATGTGTTGTTAAAAGCAGAAAGGCTTGGATGAAAGACAGGGAGGAGATCTGGGATTTGGAGAGAATGGAAACAGGAAAAGCAGATATCTTCCTCCGCTTGTTTTCTCATCTTTGTCACTGGAGTGTCTTCTCAGCATGAGAAGTTCCAGATCCCTCAAAGTAATAATTTTCCTCCAATATGTAATTTAAAGACGAGGGGGGTTTTCTGTGCAGCGATGATAAATCAGGCACGGCCGATTGTCAGGTGATGACACCAGGCACCAGAGTCCCAAACGTATTTCCTCAAGGACAGAAATCCTGACTCAACGTCTCATCGAAGCAAAAGTCCAGAGGTGCTTTTCATCCAGAGCTGAACTCCCTTTGGTGCCGTTAATTTCTGTTGCTGTTTACGCCCGACTGCTTCTCTTCTCTGGCCAATAAACACGAGGCGAGGTTTCCTCCGAAGGCGTGGAACCCGCAGTAAATCAGTTCTGTGGAGGAAATGTTCCTCCTCAATGTTCTCTCAGCTG